TATGTATTTCCAAGACTTACTTTTCTTTGGGTGGGGGAGGTAGTGCTTTGGATTGAACCCAGGGCCTCATACATGCTAAGCATGTGCTGTTTCACTGAGCTCTACCTCCAACTCATGTTTTCTTATATAACCTCAGCAGTCATCAAAATCAGAGCACTAATGTTGCTATTAAATAATCTACAAACTGTTATTCAGATTTTACCAACTGACCTAATAAGTCTCCTTACAAGACAACCCCAGATACCAAGTTGCATTCAGTTGTCATGTCTCTTGAGTCCCCTTTATTTTTTTTATTTTTTATTTTTTTGGTACCGGGGATTGAACCCAAGACCTTGCACTTGCGAGGCAGACAGCGGCATCACTGAGCTAAATCCCTGGCTCATTGAGTCCCCTTTAATCTGGAATAGTTCCTCACTCTTTGTGTTTCATGACCTTGACATTTTAACAAGTACAGGCTCACTATTTTGTAGAATGTCCCTCAGCTTGGCTTTATGTAGTGTTTCCTTATGATTCAACTCAGGTTATATATTTCTGGCAAGAACACCATCTACCCGAGATCAATCCCCAGTACCAAAAAAAGAACACCCTCTGGTGTTTATTTTCTTTTTTTTGGTACCGGGGATTGAACTCAGGTCCTTGCACTTGCAAGGCAGGCAGCGGAACAACTGAGCTAAATCCCCAGCCCTATTTTCAATAAATTCATTAGGTACCCTTTACTAGACATAAGGATGGGAAATTTGTGTTTTAAGTGTCATTTTGCTGAACAGACTCTGAACTCCTGACGGTGGGCTTATCATCCTCGGTGGATGTCAGCCTGTGAGGGTTAGTGCTGTGTCGCTGTCACTTGCTGCCAGTAGAACCTTGACTGAATTTACTTAATCTCTGCAGTGGGGATGGTAATGCAGCACTGTTAACTGTGCAGGGCTGTAAGGATTAAAACATTAATCTCAGGTTAGGCCAAACCTATCAGTGGAAGTTTGATCAGTAACAGGATGACTATGTAATATCAAAGTCTCTCCCTACAAAATACATATTAATTGCAAAGGGAAAAATGATAGTGGAGAAACCCGACAGACACTGCCTTAGCCAAGAGATCAAAGTTAGTATCACCAATTATGGGATAAATCAGATTACATGTCCCTAATATGATCCACTGAGAAGAATGTAAACTCTTTCTCACTCTAGCCACTCGATGCCCCTCTTAACCTTCTCTCACTAAGGTCTTGTCCTTGGATCAAGTGTGACATGGTCAAATTTAATGTCAGAAATATGACTCTTGGAGCCAGGTTTGGTGGTACATACCTGTAATCCCAGAATTCAGGAGGCTGAGGCAGGAGGATCATTGTGAGATCAAGGCCAGCCTGGGCTACATAGTGAATCCAAGGCCAGCCTGAACTATATAGTGTTACCCTGCCTCAACAATAACCAAAACAAACAACAAAATGACTCTTAATAACAAAATAAGTGAAGGACTGGAAGAGAAGAGAAGAGAATCCAGGATGCTGACATGGTAGTTAACAAGTGTGATGGGGCTGACACCTGCTTTGTATCCAGCCTTCCTCTACAAGGATGTGTATTTGTGGACTACTTTCTCATCACCCAGTCTCATGTTCCCATCTGCTCTGCACCCCACCCCCAGACTTCTCTGTTAGACTCCCTGAACCCCTGTTATTGTCCCTCCCACCCCAGTCTCATTGTTGTACCTGGTCTCCTTTGTTGACCTCCCTTAGAAGGGAGAAGCCCTAAGGGAGCCCTGACTAGGACAGAGTTAGTGTGAACCGCGGAGTCAGGAATACTCTGTCTGTGAGTAGTAAGTTAACTGTAGGCCTGACCTCCCATGAGAGGCAAACTGCCACTTGGCCTCTTTTCTTCCCTCCTTAATACCTCCTCAGCTCATTCTCACCCACGTCTAATTCTGTCTCCCCACCCTGTCTCCACCCCAGCTGCCCTCTCACTACCAGCTTCATTATCAGATTTGTCCCCTGAGGGATGGCCAACAGTCAGGATGCCTTCTCCTCGAAACCCTCCCTTGCAGAGCCAGTCAGCCCAGCCACCCACCTCTGAGTGGATCAAGCCCAGCTAGGCTTCGCCTCAGCCTCCCAGCTCTTTCCTGTAAATGCACTCACAGCCAGGAGGGGTGCCATATTAAATCAAGACTGATGGAAACCAGTGGCTGTGATTACCCAGCCAAGATGCACCATGGGAAGCTGGTTGCTGCCAGCTCCAGGTGAGAGCTTCTGAAGTTAATTGTACATGGCTTTTATTAAGAGGATGATCACTCCCACTCCTGCTCTCCTGGTGGCCCCTTCACAGTACCTCTCAGTCCAGTGCCATCTGCTTCTGCAGACTGGGTTACCTGACCTGCCTTCCCCTCTGAATAACTGGAACCCCACTAAAGCAGAGCCTTGGACTCATTCTTCTTGCTTCCTCCCTGTCTCAGAGAATGAAGGACATTAGCCTATGTTTATGGAGCGCTTAACAAGCTTCTCCCATCCTTTCTCTGTCCTACAAATAGAGTATATACAAATCTAGCACTCATTCTCTGTACTTTTTAGTACAAACTCTGCTAAGTATTGGGAAAAGAGTATGAAGCATAACCTTTGGCCTGGTTTAATCCAAGTGTCCTGTACATTTTTATCAAAAATTTGGATCCATTTCAGAGAGTTTTCTGAATAGACATAGGTATTTGGGACTCTATATGAGAATCAGGATATGCTCAGATTTAGACCATAATTTGAGCTTGACCCAACATCTAGAAAGCTCAGGTGTGGTGTAACTTTTCGCCTCATGCTTACCTTCACAGAAATCAGAGGCTCTCGCCTTGCCTGAGAAAATGACAGGAATCCTAAGATAACCTAGAATTGAGACACTGAGGAAGAATACAGGAAATAGAAATGTTTCCCTGGAGAAGACCTAGGGAGGCTACAAAAGTCATACCTAAATCAGCAAAGTAAAAAGAAAAGTCATTTTAGGCTTGCCTGGGTCAAAGGGAAAAGCTACGTTCTGTGAGACCCAGTGGAAGGAAAGTAGCTAGAGGCAGAATTTACCCAGTAAGGAAGACTGTGGGCCGGCCGGAGATGAGCGACCTCAGGGAGTAGCCACTTCTCCAGAAGCCGGTCCGAGTTGAACTGTGCTGGCAGATCTAGATTCCTGGAGGAGAGGAGTCTTAGGAGCCACTTCCAGGGAAGGAGGTACCCAGGTGGACTGGCTCCTGGCTTCCACGTAAGCCAGACCAACTCTTCTCTTTATCTATGGAACTCTATATGTGATTCAGCTAATTAAAAAATTCCAGTACCCAAAAAAAGGCAATGCATTCGATAATCAGTTATCAAAACCCAGTGAAGGAAAAAGGAGTAACATTATCAAAGAGAGCCAGGCACTGTGGTAGCCATTTGAGTCACTCAGCCACTGAGCATACACAAGTGTGATGCACTATGTGCTTTATGTACATTATCCCATTTACCTCTCACCAGCAAAGTAGGTATGAGTATTATCCCCATCCTAGAGGAAACTGAGATTTAGGGAGGTGAACAAACTTCCTAAAGTCAGCTGGCTAGTAAGTGGATACAGTGAGGTTTGAACTCAGGTCTGTCTGGAGCAAAGCTTGTTCTTTCTGTCCTGCAACTTGCCTCATGAGCCAAAAAAGGAGCCAAATTTCAGGTGAGGGGGTGTCTGTAAGAATTAAATGAGACACTGGTTGTAAAGCGCTGAGTTCATCACCTGGCATATAGCAGCCTCCCATGGAAGTGAGCACATGTACCCAACAAACTGGCAAGCCAGTGTCCCCTTCAGGCTCAGCTCCTTCAGCAAGCTGGTGCTGTCCCAGCCAGGTTTGTACCTCTCACCATCAGAGCCTTCTGGCCCGGTGGACCCAACTGAGCAGGCTGGTGGGCAGGGAGGAGGAGGAGGCAGATATATGGCTGCAGTCGCAGAGCCAGGTGATGTATGTGGCGCCTGAGGGAGCCGCACAGTGACACTCTAGATTCCAGCCGGCAAGCGTCGCTCCACTGGGATTGGCGCCGAATTATTGCTCCATATGAAACCCCAGGACTGATGGAAGCTTTCAGCTACAGACTGATAGCAACAGCCAAAATTGGATTGTTTGCTATTTATTTTTTTTAACTTCTGTCAAGGTCACTACCATAACAGGAAAACACTGCCCAAGCAGCAGGTATTTTTCATCCACTCTGCCCACAAGAGCAATTTGCAACTGCAACTTTTGTGATGGGGCCTTACCTTGACAGCTTTCTTTCTAGAAAGATGTCACTGTCATAGGGGCTCGGGGGAAAGGAGCCTCCTAAAGACCTGGTGTTTCCTTTCTACTCCAAGATCTGCTTCCTTCCTCCTCAGCTTCCTCCAGAAATGCTTTTCCATCGGGCCTGTGCCCTCAGGCCTCCTGCCCAGTTGCCAGACAGCTTCAAGCTCTGTTTTCCAGAAAGGCCCACAGTGTTTCACCTTATGTGTGTTTCCCATCTCTGCGCTTCTGTACCACCCCATCTTGATGTTAATTCTCTCTGCTTTGTCTCTATTATCACATTCAGTTTTGCAAGCACACACCAGATGCTTCCAGTGCTGGAAATACAAATCATTGCCTCCCCTCAGGGAGCTTACGAGTGAGTCAGAGAGAGTCACAAACATTCAACAAACTCATTTTCCATTAGTTTTTTCAGTGACAGGTACAGTCCTAGAGATAAGCATTTATACTCCAAAGCTATAAGGACAGTGGTTGGTTCTGCCTGAGGAGCACTTGTGTACAGGCCCAGACTGAGAGCTCCCTGGGGGAGCGGTCTGGCTCCCCTCCTTGCAGCAATGCCAGGATAGGTGAAAGGAGGGTGAGAAGAGCAACATCAGCCTTGTGCTCATGAGCCAGAGCTGTTAATGGGCCCACCCCACTTCCCGCCAGCACCCACACCTATGTTTTTTTCGGAGTTAGGGGGTAGAATGAAAGCAAGGTCCTATGAAGCCCAGCTCCCTGAGCCATTTGCCCTCTCTCCTCACAGTACCAGGAGAAGCAACGTAAGCGTGAGGCTGAGGAACGGCGCCGCTTCCCCCTGGAGCAGCGACTGAGGGAGCACATCATTGGCCAGGAGAGTGCCATCACCACCGTGGGTGCTGGTGAGTACTATGCAGGACACCCTCCAGTTCCAGACAGGGCAGGGCAGTTGTGCTACAGTGAGATGTGCCTCCTGCTGCCACCAAACTGGAGAGGTCAGTTAATAGTAAAAATTAACATCTGTTGAGCACTATCTATATGCCAGGCGTTTTTATAAACTCTTTGCATACTTTATGTCATTTAAGTCCTTACAGCAATGCTATGAAGCTGGTACTGTTAAATCCCATTTTAGATGAGGAAGCGAAGTTAAATAATTTGTTCAAAGCTGCTTAGATTTGACGCTCACCTTCATATGGTCCACTGCCCCCATGCCCTGCTTTTGAGATGGGACACATAAGACCCAAAGAGGGATAGGAGCTTGCTCATCACCAGTAATGTGATAGCTGAGCTAGCACTAGGACCCTCTTGTCTCTTCAGAATAGCTTGTCAGCATTTGGCCCAGTCTTAGGGAGAACATCCCAGACAACAGTGGCATGCCTCCTTCCTCCTGTGAAACTCTTATTCCCATCCTTTGGCCCCTGGAAGCCAGACTTTGTAACCCCTAATCTAGTGGCCTTCCTGTACCAGGAAAGTCTCCTGGTCAGATATATACAGCTAGGGTTCTGCTGAAGACAATAGCCTCACCCTTATTCCCTAACTCTGATATGTGTCTCCCTGAGAGTGGTGTCAGACAAGTGAGGCAGGGGAAGAGAACGCTTGCGCCAGCTGAGACAAAGCGGTCTCCCCCAAGGATCTGTGTTTTAAACAGCTGGAATTTAAAACCCACTACCCTGAGATGTCTTGTCCAGTCCCACTGACACATGGCTTACTCTTCCCTCCAAGCATCTAGTCCTGCTAGACATAGTCCAGTAACTCACCAGGTTCTGCTTGCTGAGAATAGGAGCCACCAGCCTGAAGTCTAGGCTGCCCTCTGGGACACTCTGGAGCCACATTCTCAGCCCTAAGAGTATTTGAAAAGGACCGGGGATTTAGCTCAGTGGATCCGCCACCGCCTGCCTCGCAAGCACAAGGACCTGAGTTCGATCCCCGGTACCAAAAAAAAAAATCCATCTCAAGTATTTGAAAAATGAAGGAGGTCACCCCATGATGTTCCAACCTGATCCCCATCATTCTCACACACTGGTGGGGCTCACAACTCCCACATGAGACTCTCATCAGGGGTCTGACCCCATCAGCAGAGTAAAGGAGCCCAGAGACTAGAGCTGCCTCCCCAGCTGTACATCAGAAGACAGCTTGCAGGCACACACATGAGCTGAGGAGAATGTTTGTCAATACACAAGCCTCCACTCCTCAGGCCCAGACCACACCAAGCTGCCCTTTGGGGTTTGGATACAGATACCCATCTCCTTCTGCCACCATAGAGATGACAACCCTGACTCCTTTGGCAAGGCTGTATCCAAGATAGAGGGAAGGAAGATTGGGTGCTCTCATGAAGAGATGAGTAGCCCACTTAAGAAACTGATGACCTGGGTGGAGTCTCACATCACCAGGCTGCGGTCACAATCCTCACCCCTTTCCCAGCAAGCTGCCTACAGTCTTTGATGTCCCATTTCTCACCAGCTTCTCAGGCCCACAAGCTCTGAAGCTCCCCAGAAGTAGGGGCATGGCTATAGAATTAGACCAGCCAGGGTCCACCGTTTTCCCACAGTGCAGCTTGGCCTTAGCAGTTCCCTCACCAGTGTGGTGGGTGTAAGTTCAAGACCATGTGATTCTAAACCATGTGTCCTTTCCTCTGTGCTACACAGCATTGACTACAGCCTAGTCTGTGTCCCCAGGATATTCCACCTTGGGTCGGGCTAGGTTCTTGAAGTCAAACCCACAGCTAATTTCTTCTACCTAGGACTGAGTCCCACAGCAATACACACGGACCTCTGGTGTATCACCCTCTTGCCTCTCCTTGCTCTTGGCCCAGAGCAAGAATGGATAATTCACTCAGAATGTGCATGCACCCTGAGTCCTCCTCCCACCCGTAGCTCCCCTTCTGTCATTTGAACTCTGCCTCAGGTCAGTGGTAAAATGGCCATCCAGGAAGGCCCTGTGCTTTGTCCTGTGATGTGTAGGTTGGACCTGCTAGGGCTCTGGTGACCCTAGAATAGTGATGGTGAACCTTTTAGAGCTTTCAGTGATGCAGACAGCCTGCTGCAGCACTTGTGCCATAGGTTCACCATCACTGCCTTAGAAATTAGGGTCAGAGTTATGCAGGGTTGGTGCTTTTTTGCCTCCAGTTGTAAAATGGTAACTATGTGCCTGCCTTGCTGAGAAGCCCTGCATTTGGGATCCCACTGTTGATGTTCCAGTCTATGTCCATTTCCTATGACCAGCTCCTAGAAGCATTTGGTAGGAAAGAGTAAGTAGCCTGGTCATTGTGCTATGAGGGACAGCAAAGCCTGAGACATTCACTGGGCAGAACTTGTAGTGGGTGGGCCGGGGATTTAGCTCAGTGGTTTCGCCACCTGCTGCACAAGTGCAAGAACCTGGGTTCAATCCCTGGTACCAAAAAAAAAAAAAAAAAAGAACTTGTAGTGGGCAAGCAGCACCCAGGACCTCAACACTTCAAAGCTGAAGCAAGTACAGGAGAATGAGGCACATCAAGAGGCTAGGGCAGGCCTCTCTGGGTCCTCTAGGCTAGTGTCACTTGCGTGCTAGGGGCTGGCTGGCTGAAGCCTGGCACCCCATGGGTACCATGAGCATGGGCAGTCAGAAAAGTGCCGCAGAATGAATTGATTTGATAAATGGCCATTTATTACCCTCACGAATTGGCTGAAACCAATTTCGGTCACATCAACCCCTGGTAAGTGCTGGGATATTGATTTGTGCAAAGTAATACAGTGAATTTATCAGTGTGATCCCCAGCTGCAGGGCCTCTAGGAAGGCTGGAGCACAGTTACCGCCTTACAAATAGAGGAGATAAAGTACCAGCCCCACAACCCAGGGTCACTAGATCCAAAGCAGGGCCAACCTGCATTCTACAAACCAGAGCATTGGCATGGAAGGTGAGGCTCTCCTTCCAGAATCCAGAGTATTGGTCATGAGGAGGGGAGGATGCTCAATGCTGAGGGGCAGATCACCTGGGAGCTCCAAACCTCCTCTGAAAGGCAACCAGCTGTCCTTTGAGCACATTGAGAAGTAGACCACCTTTCACTGGTCTCCTAAATAGAAATGTAGAAATTCCTAAGGCCCTTCCCCTCACCCCTTACAGCCAAAGTATGAAGTTCTGTCATTCCCTTTTTTGTTTGTTTGTTTGTTTTTTGTGGTACCAGGGATTGAACTCAAGACCTTGTGCTTGCCAGGCAGGCGTGGTGCCACTGAGCTAAATGCCCAGCCCTCATTCCCTCTTAAATGGTTCTCAGACCTGGCCTCTCCCCTCTGTTCCTGATAGCATTGCTTTAGTTCAGGATATCTGAACAGTGGCAGTGGCCTCCTCAATGGTTTTCCTGCCTCCCTTCCTTCCCCTAGAAGCAGTTCTCCACACTGGTTGTAGGGATCTTTGGAAAACACAAATCTAACAATGCCGGTCCCATTGAAAACATTTGAGTGTCCCTCACCACCCTATTATGGAGTACAAGGCCCACTGCCACTGCCCCTGCCCTTGCCTCCTGCTTGGCACTATACATGGGACCTGCTTCTGCCTCCCTGCACACAATGAGCACATCTCCTGCCTGCATTTATTGCTGCTGCGCTCAGCCTGCGGTTCCTTCTTCTCTGACCCTCCCACCCCAGTCCATCTCAGCCCAGCCCATCTCCCACACACTAGCTACTTTCTCCCTGAGCTAACTCAGTTCAAGTGCAGTGATTGATGGACTTGTGTTTGCCTACTTCTGAACAACACTGTGCTCAAAAGTAGATGTTGAGGGCCAGAGATTTAGCTCAGTGGTGCCGCTGCCTACCTCACAAGCACAAGGTCCTGAGTTCGATCCTTGGTACCAGAAAAAAAGTAGATGTTGAATGCAGTTTGTGAAATTTATTTCTGTGGTGTGGCCCCTTGTCCATCTCTGTGATGTTCTCTGAGGAGAGAAGCAGCTGTACACCTGCCCTCTAGTAGCTCACAAGCATGCTGGGAACGGGACTCAAGCAAGACTACAACCATACTAATTGACTTTTGACCAGTTTGGTCAGTGGCTGGCAGGGTGCGCCATTCCCCAGACCTGCTATAAGCAGCTTTCCCTGGGCCAGCAGGTCAACAAGCACACATCTGGCAGTTTCCTTGGACCTTCTTCAGACCAAGAGCCTGTGCCTGACAGCCATTCTAACTGTCCCAGGGGACCTTCTGAAGTATCTGCACTCCCTTGGACAAACTCTGTCCCTTCAAGTGTCCTCCTGCACAACAGTCTGGCCCACATGCAGAATCTCAGCATCATGTGGCACACTGGGGTGCACTGTCCTATCTCATGCTTCACTCGCCTCATTGACTAAAAGTATGATCTCCCCAAGCCCCCATCTTTCTGAGCCTCCCTGTGAGGACTGGTGTCTGATGTGAGAAAGACTACCAGAACTGCTTGCAGCTCCACTCCATGTCACTTCAGGGTCCCTGCTTGTGCTTTGCTGCTCTCGTTGCCTAGCCTGCCCTGCCAACACTCAAGACCTAGGCTTCTCCAGGGCCCCAACCCTGTCCTCCCTGGTTTCAAGGCCCTCTCCCTGGACTTCGTTTGGACACCTCTGTCACCACCCTTACCATATGGTGTCTGCTGTATTTGCATGTCTTCTCCCTTCAGAGGTCAGGGACTACCACTCATCAGCTCTGTTTCCCAGGTTGGACACACAGAATGGTTGTTGAACTCAGGTAAATGAAGTGTGAGCCCATTTTGACACTGCTGACAGACACTGGGGTTAACTCTCAACCATGAGAGTCCCTCTGAAAAGCTGGTTCCCCTGGGAAATGCTAAACATAGAGCAATGTGTTTCCATACTAGGTCATTAGAACTTATTGAGGAGGATGAATCTGCCCATCCAGACTCCCCAGAATCTTTTTCATACCCTCTGTGTGGCAGTTTCCCCCTCATCCTTTAGGCACACATGTCAGCCATGCAAATAGGTCTGCTGTACTTCTCCCACCCATTTAGAACCCACCATTTTCATAGCAGTATTTCCCTCATAAGCATAAGGCTGGTTCTAGGCCTCCCTGTGGTGTCCTGGCACCTGGCATGTTTGCTGAATACATGCATAAAGCTCCTAGGAGAGGGTTCAGAGGGTAGTAGAAACCACCTGGAGGGCTAAGAGACTCCTGGATCCAGGCCACACTGTCCTCCATAAAATGAGTTAAAGAATCTGTTCTTCTCCCCCTCCTCATAATTCCAGAAAAACCAAGACTTAATTCATGTAGCCAGCAACATTAAACAAGTGTTGAGCTAGTCTCAGGTTCCTCAGGAATTAGAAGGCCAGCACTTGGCTCCTGTGGAAGACACAGTTGACTGGGGGCACACTCTCCTTTGATATAAGGATACAAGCAGATAAAATCCCTTGCACTGCCCCTCTGTGAGCCCATTTCCTCCTGTATAGAATGGAGATAATTCCTACTTCTAAGGATTGTTATAAGGATGAGAAAGATATCTATAAAATATCAAAACTAATAGGGCTGGGGATTTAGCTCAGTGGTTTGGCCGCCTGCTGCGCAGGCGCAAGGACCCGAGTTCAATCCCCGGTACCAAAAAAAAAAAAAGAGAAAACTAATGACTGCTGCCGTTGCTACCACTATGACTTCCACTATTTGTATTTCTCCTGGTTTTGGTTTTTGTGTTTTATTCTGTTTTTTGTTTTATTTGTTTGAGAAGAGGTCTTACTTAGTTCCCCAGGCTGATCTCAAACTCAAGAAATCCAATGATCTTCAGCCTTCCAAAGTTCTGGGATTATAGATATACACCATTGTGCCCAGCTTATTCTTGTTGTTATTCCACACTTTGCAGTTTACGACATGCTTTTGTAAATATTAATTCCCTTCATCTTCATGTGGAGCTACTACAGTATATGTGCCTGTTTCCAGACCCTGAGGCTCTAAAGAAATAGGTGTTTTACTCAAAGTCAGTTTACTGGTTAGTTAACTAGTAAGTAACAGAGGCAAGACTTTGAGCAAGCTGCCTTTCCACCATACCACAGCATGTGGGAGGCAGAGGAGCCTGGTTAGAGCTTGCAGAGATGGGACTGGCAAGCAAAGGGGCTAAGCTGCCCATGCAGGTAGGCCTGCTGCTATCTTAAGCCCAAAGGCAGTGGTGAAGACAGGGACATCTTGAGGCCATGTATTGAGTGGCCAAGTTTCCCAGATTGGAAGACTACAAAAGAAATGTTTTGCTGATAAGCCAAGTATGTGAGGAGGTGCTGGGCAGTAGAGAACCAGAGGAAGAGATTGCATTCCTTTCCTTACACTCCCTGAAGCACCAGTTTAGGCTCAGGAATCAGCAAGAGTAGGGTTAAAACCCAGGGTCTTCATGAACTTATCTGTGCAAGCGTGAACAGGTTTCTTAACTTCTTTGTACATATTTTCTCATCTGTAAAATGGGAATTAAGTTCTCTCTCCTACCTGCCTCATGTGGTCATGATGAGGCTGATGTGAAATTACATCAACAGAAGTTCTTTAAGTTGTGCATTTGCTGCTCTACAGTGAAAGCACCAGCACTTATGGCCACATCCACATGGGCCCATCCAAATGTCCATTGGTCCCTGCCTCTACCCTGACCTGACAGGACCCTCTAGGCTCTCCAGTCTTGGTCCTCAGCCATCCCATCAACCATATACCCTGGGGCTTGCCTTCCTCAGACCTTCCTGGCTGCTTCTATTTTTCATTCTGTCGGACTCCATCTGTTTGGCCGTTTTTCTCTTCAGATATTATTAGAAATATCCAGAGTTGTAATTGTTTAATGGTTGGCATTTTGCCTATTTCATGGGGGGCCCTGATCAAGCCCACCCCAGACTCATGCCCTGGGTCTGACAGAATTGACCAGGGACAGCTGTGCAGTGGAGTCTGCCTGGCATTATAAAGAGCTCTCTCCCAGGTGCATTATTAGAAAAGAAGGGGGGAAAGATGGCCCCAGGCATAATTCAATTCCACATTCTCCATGGTGTTTTTAGTACTGCACAGCCCAGCAGTGTGCAGCTCTCAAAGGGCTGGGATGCTACCCTGAAAGAAAACCAAGTCAGAACCTCATGTACATGATACCCAGGGAACCTTATCCCCCCAGGCTACCTTTCTAGGGATGCCCCACGAAGCCTGAACCCAGTTCATACTCTGCCTCTTCCCAACATAAGTTCTTGATTTAGCTAACTTTTAGAAGCATGTGGCTCCTCTCAGCTGACCCCTTTCTCAACCCTGCTCCAACACACAAATGCATACATGTGCTCACATTATCCACAAAAGCCTAGCATTTGCCATTTTAGTACATCCACTTCCCCCAGATGCCCTCACTTCCACCTCCCTATTTCTGTGAGGACACCAGGATCTCCACCAACCAGGTGTGGTGGTCTGCAGCTTCACCCTCAGTGTTCAGATACCAATGAGGTCTGTGAGTTTCCCTCATAGCAACCCTTCCAGAGACCTGGGCCAGTTAGAGAAGATCTGTATCCTAGCCCAGGAGAGAGGTTGGACTGAATGTCTTCCCAAGCCTCTTTCAAGGTTCTCAGGGAGCATCTCCTGGTCACACAAAAGTGGCTAGTCTGCCATCTGAGAGGTTGCAGTTTCCATCTGTTCCTGCTGAGGCCAGAAGTAGAAAGTACGTTAAGGTGACACCATAAGAGATAGAGGTGAGAAAGACCACAAGCATGGGACTGAACTAAGACAGGTCGTTCAGACTCTTATAATCTGGACTCACCACTGCTTGTGTTCATACCTGTCTCTCCTGCCTCTGTTGTGCTGTCTGCCTCTCCAAATCCTGCTTCACTTCCAGGCCCCTGCATTAGTCCTGCCACTCCCCCTGAGTCTTCCTTGACCTCTGCTGCTGCTTCTTTGAAACTCAGCTACAGTTTCCTCAAGACTGGTAACCCTAAGACCTAGTCCCTAAGACTGTCAGCTCTGTCGATTGACTAAGTTTCCAGGCCCAGTCCTCTGACATATATCCCTTTGCTAATTTTGCCCAACACTCTGGGGATCAGAGCAGACATGCTCTTCCATCTGCAGACAGACCTTGACACTGCACAGTGCTCTGTCCTCTTCCTGCTCCTGGCTGACATGTTTCCATTAGTGCAACCCAAATTGATACAAATTTTTTTAAGCAGCCATATGTGAGTTTTAAAAAGAAGACAAGTTGGGCTGGGGATTTAACTCAGTGGTTCCACCACTTGCCTCGCAAGCACAAGGACCCGAGTTCGATCCCCAGTACAAATAAATAAATAAATAAATAAAAAGACAAGTTTAGAGGGCTGGGGATTTAGCTCAGTGGTTCCACCACTTGCCTCAAAAGTACAAGGGCCCAAGTTCGATCCCCAGTACCAAAAAAAAAAAAAAGGTTTAGAGAAAGAAACAGCTCTACTGTCTACTAGTTGTGTGACTTAGGGAAGTCTCTCTTAGTAGAAGGGAATTGAGAATGTTTTCCCCTTGGGGTGTTTGTGAGGTCTTGACTGAATATATTATGGGTAGATTTTTCCAGTTGTGCCTAGCATACAGCATGTGTAATAAATTATTCTTGCTTCCATCCCTGCCCTTATACTTGAGCAGTGCTTCTGAGCCTGATTCTCCCAGTGTCCTTTCCTTGATTACATGGCCCTTGATCATATGCTTCCTCTCAAAGAAGAGATCAGGCCTTGCTCTGGCAGAGTTGAACCCCAAAGGGAACTAGTACAGATCTGTTCTGCTCCCCACCCCTACCCCCACTGGAGGCCTTGGTTAACAGAGATGCTAACTAAGTGGCTTACTCCTTCCTTGCTCCAAGCTCCACACTACCCTCTGTTGGCTTCCACAAAAGATATTTGGCTGTTTTTCCACTTCCTAATCCAGATAGTAGACCAGAACTTGATTTCCTCAAATGGGAAAGAGCACAGAGCTCACACCCCAGATCCACAACTGCCAAGGGCTTCTGCCTGTCCCGTTTGCATAGGTGAGTAGAGGAGTAACCAACAAAAGCTAAAGTTCCTCTCTAATTCTCCTTCACCAATCCCCCACCCCCTTCACCTCCATTCACCATCCACCCGCCTTTCAGTTTCCCTGGCAACGCTGAGTGCTCATCCTGGAAAACTTTATCCGAAATCTGCTCTGGGCAGCTTTCCAAATCCATGCTAACCTGATTAGGTATCTCTAGGGGCCTTGCCAGCTAATCAGATTAGGCAGCACTAATGGTAGTGAGGACTTTGAGTGGGCGCAGAGCAGTAAAACATATTGTATACTTAGTGATAATTATCCTGCCTTTTGTGTCATTGATTTATCTGCCTCCCTCCCTGTCCCCCCATCTTGTGTGTTTGGCTACAGCGATTCGGAGGAAGGAGAATGGCTGGTACGATGAAGAACACCCTCTGGTCTTCCTCTTCTTGGGATCATCTGGAATAGGTAATTGGGATCACATCAGCCAGTGGGGAAAGGGAGCACCCAGCCCCAGCCCCAGCCCCAGCCCCTCACCCTGGCTGCAATGGGCCAGCGGTCACACCATCCACCTCAAGTTCAACTCTCAGCTCAAGAAGCAACTGCCTCCAAATTACAGAGCCATCACAAAGAAGACTGTGGGTGTTTAATCATCTGCCCTTTTACAAGCAGCCAGAATCATGCCTCTTCCTTTGTACACTCAGGGGTACAAGGACTAATTCGTCTGGGGACCAGGCCCTCAGGGCTATTAGCCTTGGTCAGGGCACTCTGCTCTGGGAACAGTGGAGCCACCTCCTCTGCCCAGTACATCAACCACATTCAGAGCAGCCTAGCTATAGGAAGCTAAAGAAAACCCCAGTGACCAGTGCAGTGCCAGAGCATAACTGGCTCCCATAAAATGGGCTATTTTTTTCTTTTTTTCTGTTTTTTTAAATTTTTTTTCTCCCCACAGTACCAGGGATTGAACCCAGATCCTTTGCACTGAGCTACAATTCCCAACTCTTTTCATTTTTTGTTTTGTTTTGACAGAGTCTCATTATGTAATTCAGGCTGTCCTTGAACATGCAGCGATCCTCTTTCCTCAGCTTCCCTAGTGCTAGGATTACAGGCGCATACCACCACGGGTCTCTAAATCACTAAGTTGCCCAGGTTGGGATTACGAGAGGTTGGATAGTTTTCTAGCCAGTTGAGCTGCATTACCTGATGAATTCTCAGCTCCTTGCTCTGCACCCTCACATACTCCCTTTCCTCCACTACACCTGCCACCATCATCATGATGGGGATTTCATGATTTATAGAGACTTTTTTTTTCTTCAAGGGCTGGGGATTGAACCCAGGGCCTTGCACGTGCTAAGCAAGTGCTCTACCTCTGAGCTACAGCTTCAGCCTAGACTTCATGATTTAGTTGCCACTTCCTCCTCTCCCAACACCTTTGTGGACTTAGCTCTCCCTCACGTGTAGGGTTCCAAAAGGTTACCACCCCCTGACCTTGACACCATAAATCTTGACTTCTATAACCCACAGTGACTTCCAGTGGCTTTATGATCGTTCCAAATGGCCCTTCAGCACCGCCTCTTTGGTATTGTCATTCCTTTTTTATGTCACAAAAGACTGAATCCAGTAAGAGATACTCTTCATCTTTTCCCAGCCCTTACTTGGCATTATTTCCAAGGCCTGGCTGACTTGCAGGCCATGGAGGTTAAGAGAGATGCAGGGTAGTGAGGCAGGAAGTCGAGGTGCTCCTAAGAGAGGTGAGGGTTATGTTGGGATTCAAAGGACAAGCTGGCTCTGCATTATGAGTCTGTTCTCCACTGTCAGGATGGTGCTACAGAGAAGCCTCGGTCCCACACACAGAAAAATTAAAATGCAATGCAGACTTGATTCTGATCCCAGCTTCACCATTCATTCTCTAGGTGGCTTTGGGAGAGTCTCTGAGCCTCACCATTCCCATCCATGATGTTTATGCTTCCTGGTGTCCCAGCATTTCCAATTATCTGGTCCTAAGCCACTCCTTTTCTTTCTTTCTCTCTAGGAAAGACAGAACTGGCCAAGCAGACAGCCAAATACATGCACAAAGATGCCAAAAAGGTAAGAACTGGGTCTGAGGCCTGGTTTGCAGTCCATGGAAACCTTGCCCAATCATGCTGTCCCCAAATCCAAAGCTCTCTGAAGCTGGCAGTAAAGCAGTCAAGATGGGCCCCGGCCCAGGAACAAGCCTCAGCTCTGGCCACCAGTTGCTCCAGGAGTTTGGGAAAGCTATCCAACGTCTTTGTGCTTCAATTTCTTCATCTGTGAAACAGGAATAATAATTCTCAGATTGCCTGACTCTTAGGGCTCTTCAGAGAACCAAATGAGATTCATCCACACAGCATTGTCAAGCACCTGCCCCATGCCAGGTGCCGTGCAGGGTGCTGTAGTTCAGTGTTTATTAAGGCGTTCTCCCTCTCTGGGGCTCAGGCTGGGGCAGCATCTATGGCAGTTGGGGCTGTGTAGTTTTGGGGGCTATCTCTCCATCCTGCATGAGCTTGCTTTGTTGTTTTGTTTTATATTTGAAATTGAACCCAGGGCCTTGTGCATGTTAGGAAAGTACTTTACCATTGAGCTACATTCCTGGCCCTTTTTTTAAATTTTATTTTATTTTAAGGCGGTCTCACTAAGTTGCTCAGAGTGGGCTTGAACTTGGAATCCTGTGTCATCCTCCAAAATAGCTGGGATTATAGGCATGCACCACCATCCCTGGCTCTGTATGAGCTTTTAAACCTGGTTTCTTGGGCCTTAATCTTGAGCTGCTTCTGGTGCTTCTTCCCATGGTTCACGCCCCTGGGGTTTCCCCTACAAAAGAGCCTGCCTTATCCCCTGCTTGTTCATACTCAGGCTTTCCAAAGTCTGCTCAGTTTCACACTCTAGGCTGACAAAAGATGCTTTCAAGAAAGCAGTCCTTAGAAGGGTGCAGAACATTTCAACAAAAGCTAAACACTCTTCTAACCAGCCTTCCCTGTGTTGAGGCTAAAGTCCCCCTCCCCGTGGCTGGAGTGTTCCCGAGCCCCCAGCACCTGCCTAGTTTCTATGGAAAGCCTCTCCCTGAGGCGATGAAGAGTTGCCTAGGGGTCTACTCGCCAAGTGGCCCCAGCAGCAGAATCCTGGTCTCCTATTCCCCTTGTGGCCTCCCTACCCTCTTGCCACCTAACTGAGAACCTGGCAGTCACAGAAACAAGGTAGCTCAGACTGTGTCCTCCTGAGCCCCCTTCCGCCTTCAGACTGGCAGAAGGCTCTTAAGCCTTCTCCTGGCTCTGTCAGTACCTGTGCTCTGACTCAACCAAATCTAGAGCAGACCCACTTGACAGCCAGGCAGGCAAGCAACAGCACACACCATGCTAATATGTTCCAGCCAAAATAGCATTTTTAAGACAATTCATCAGGTTGGCAGCAATTGAAACAATTAGCACTCTGGAAAGGGCCATAAACTAGTGAGACTTAGGGAAGATGCAGTTACGGGCAGGAACCACCTGATTAGGGATGAAGAATTCTGAGTGGTTTAATTTTAATACTGTCAGAAAGGTTAATATTTAATTACAAATTATAATCTCTTTAAGCTGTCTTAATATGTCTTCATACACAGTGGAAGTGGAAGGAAAGTATCTGCTGACGTGCTGGTGTAGAAAGAAGAGGGTGCTTTGTTAAAAGACTGATGATGCAAGTAATTTTCACTTGGTGCCTCTGCATGGGAGACAGATTGACCCCAGTGCAGGATGTCCTGCAGGTGTGATGCTGGTGCCCCTCAGTACATACCTTGTCCAGCAGGAGGAGGTAACACTATCACCCACCACACCACATCGCAGTTGGTGTAGCAGGCTGTGGTGGGCAAAGCTCTGTTCCCTGCAGTCCTTGGCCCAAACTCTACTTCTGCTTTCTCCTAGCTCTAGACAGTTTCCTCTCCCTCATGAAATTTCAGTGCTCTTGCCTCAGCATAAAACTATCCAATCCTGTGTCTTAGGGTTCTGGTGAGCATCTGATGAGATCATTGGGGTCCTCAACGGTTTAGCATACAGTGGGTACCCACTTCCTCAACTGGTGTGTTTACCACTTCATGTTCTCCACAGCATGCCCATCTGTTATTTGATCCTATGAGGAAGAGCACAGATACTAAGTTAGGCCCATTCTGCAGATGAGAAAACCTATGCCCTGTCACATCAAGAGGCTTGTCCAAGGGCACTTGTTAGGGAAACAAGTAAAAGCAGAATTCAGACTTTGACCCTTCTCTCAATAACATTATTCTCAGCTGCTCTAGGAGACTACATTATAAATTTGTCAGTTTCTGTGTTTCACAGAAGATGAGCGCCACGAGAAGTCCAATAAAACCATTTTATTTTTAAATCATAGCTGATTCTTCCGTAAAGCCCCAACCTGTATAAGTCCTACAGGTCAACTCATTACAGAGTATGTTTAACATAGACATTTTCTAGCCATGGGTCACACCTAACACACCTGCCTTCAAAATCCAAGAGTCCTGGACTGTCAGCTGTCTAACCAGTCAACTTGATGCTTCCAGAGCCCAAATAGTAATGTATGGAAAGGGACAGAACCTAGTGTAAAATAAGCTCTTTCCAAATGAGAGTTCACTTCTGTTTGCTTCCCAGGGTGACTTGTGAACTGAAACAAGCCCTGACCTGGCAGCCAGAGACTTGAATTCTTATTTTAGCTCTCTGATCCTTATTTCCCTTATTTGTAAAGAGATTAATACCTCTGGACCTTGCTGCCTCACAAGGCATTGTTTGCACATTTTTACAATTTTTCCATCAGCTCTATTATGAGCTTTTTTTCCCCTCACAGCCTGTGCTATTTTTCCCAAATTGAGCAGCTTTGTTAACTTTGATTATTAGAGTTAATAATCCTTGAGAAAGAATCATAGTGGGCTCTATGATGTCATCATGAGGTGGGTGATGGGCTCCAAAGATTTTCAGTTACAGGGGCAAGATGATAACAGGATTAAAATTAAGTGTTTTGAGTTCAGCTGCCTGGGTTTAAGTCCCAACTGTCCCCAAATACATGGAATTACCCATTGGATATGGTTTCATGAGATAATGATATAAGATATTAAACATTATTAGCACATAATAAGCAATCAATCTGTGTTGGATGTTACTATAATTATTGCTTCATTTGTAGATAACCCCAAGCTAAGATCATGTGACACCAAAATGACTGTAGCCAAGAAAGCCAAACCCAAAGATTTGTTTAGAGTTACACAACAATTTGCTAGAAGAACTAGTATGAGAAGCCAGGTCACTTGACAAAAGCAAGCACTAGCATCTGTCCTCCCAGTCTCTACTGGGACATTTGACACCTGAGCACAAAGCTCAGAGCCCTTCAAATGAAGACTGGCAGGAGCCCAGCTGGTTGGCCGCTGAAAAACACAGGGCAGTATTGCGTAATGGTTTAAATGCAGACATGGAGCCGGATGGCCAGGCTTCCATGGCCTTGGACAAGTTACTTTAATCTCTGATAGTTTCCTCATCTGTGAAGTGGGGATGATAATAGTACTTGCCTCACAGACTGCACATGTTCTTAGCCCTTTATAGCTTCTTTTGAAACATCACCAGACTCATAGTAAGCACTAGTGAAAGTCTGCTATTACCCATCAGTCCATTGCTCCCCCTGTGTAGCACTCCCAGCTATCCCATGGCATTTCCATCCTTCCTGCTGCCTGTATGTCTTGTGACTGAACAACCAAGGAACCCTCTGGAAATGCTTGCTGGCCCATCCCCCATACACTGGTAGTAGTGCTCACTCCCACATGGCCTTAATCACTTCACTGAGCCCTTTCCCACCTCTTGGAAGGTCTCTACTCAGGCCCCAAGTGAGGCAGGGAGAGGCACCAAGAGCCTTGTGTTAGGAAGAAACAACGCTCTACAAGGGAGGTAGCATCCACAGGCACCTAGGCAATGGCAAAACTGGGACTGGAAGCCAAGCTGTCTGTTCCCAGCCCACGGCTCCTGCCATTCTGTATTTCCAGTATAGAGTGACAAGACAGAACTAAAACTGCATCGTTGAGTGACTTTCTGAGCAGTGACCATGCTAGAACATGGCCCTGGATTTCAGACCTAGGTGCCCTCCTCTGAGGGTCTTGGTGCCCCTCATGCCCAGTCTCGGGAGCAGCAGTGTTGATGAGTGCTGTTTTTGGATGGAAGCATGAGCCAGTAGGAGAGGAACCTGTCCTGGGAGGATGGACAGGGCCCTCAAAGCTCCCTGGCTCAGTTAATTCTTCATGACAAGGAAGGGGTGCTCTGCCTGTGTTAACTCTTCAGATCAGTTGTCTCTTCCCCTGGAGCCAAGCGTGGCCCTCCCTCCAGGGCACACTACTTGCAAATCAGACCTAATCCCAGTAGTGAGAGAGAAGGGCTGTGAGCTACATTATAGATATTTTAAGAGAAATGAAGAAATGTAAATAAATGGAACAATGCATTCATTCTAAAGAAAAGCAAGTTAGGCCGGGGATTTAGCTCAGTGGCACCACGCCTGCCTTTCAAGAGCAAGGTCCTGAGTTCAATCCCTGGTACCAAAAAAAAAAGAAAAGCAAGCTAAAGCATGAATGTGTACCCCACTCAGACTTACAGAGTTGAGGGACATTATGGAGCCCTCCTTTCTGTCTCCTCACCATTCCCACTGGTGGTGACCGACTTTGTGCAGGTCTCCTTGCCCCACTTGGTGGGGTGCCCTTCAAAGGTAGGGTCAAGACTCATCCACTGTTGTAATTACAGTCCTGAGCATACACATGACGTCCTCCAAAAATGTGGGAGGGAGGGAAACATGGAGGGGTCAACATGTGGTGATCAGCAGAGTAGAAGCCTGCCTGAAGGATGGTATGTCCTGAATCAGATTTGGAAGGGCAGGGACATTTGGATTTACTTAGGTGGAAAATGAGGAACTGGGTGGGAAATGAGCAGGCAGGAAAGGAGGCAGGGACCAGGAGAAATGTATCATGAGGATGCCACAGAGGTCTCCAGCCGATGTGGCCTTTAGGCCAGAGATAGGATCCTCTTCCCCACACTGTTCCTCTACCACTTGCCACCACACAGACTTATCCCCTGCTGTTTCCACACAGGGCTTCATCAGGCTGGACATGTCTGAGTTCCAGGAGCGACATGAGGTAAGAGAGATCCTCAGGGAAGTGTGGTTGGAAGGCCTGGCTACATGGCTGCCTTGGTGTTTTATATGCCTTGTCATTTAGACCTTCAGCCCTCAGATAATTCCAACAGCCCTGGGATTTGTTCTTGAAAGCACAGCTGTGCAGCAGAGTCACTGACATGTTTTGCATAGGATTTGCTCTGAAGAATAAACAGAAAAGATCTGTCTGTCTCCCATCATGACAGGATTCCTGCCATACCTGGAGAGAGACTGGCAGTCCTAATAGTGTATAAAGCCATCTTCCCATGTTGGCTCCATATCGCAGACTAAAAGTACAGAAAGTCTTTCTTCTTTCCACTAGGTGGCCAAGTTCATTGGGTCCCCACCAGGATATATCGGCCATGAGGAGGGTGGGCAGCTGACCAAGAAGTTAAAGCAGTGCCCCAATGCCGTGGTGCTCTTCGATGAGGTGGACAAGGCCCATCCAGATGTGCTTACCATCATGCTGCAGCTGTTTGATGAGGTAAGGTACCATAGGCCACTATGGAGTTGGGAGACACCTGAAAGTATCAAGAGCTGTAAACAGCAAGAACCCAGGACCCAAAGACTGGCTGATCATTCCCTATTCACTGCACCTCATATGTACATTCGGTCATTTAGCAGGTATGGGTCAGCTTCCTCTCTGGGCAGGGACCAGGCAGGGCACTTGAGGAAAGACCAGTACTGCTCAAGTGTTGACATCCATGGCTGCCTTCCCTAGAGACAAATGGGGCAGAGGTGCCATGGTAAGGAGCTGAACTTTCAGTTCCAGCTCTGCTCCCAACTGCTTTTGTGGCCTTGGCAAGTCACCGCCTATCTCTAGGCATCAGGGACCTCACAGGAAGGCCAGATTGCATGAGCTCCAAGAACTGGTCTGGTCCTGGCAGCTCTTGTTCCTCCCTGTGTATCAGATTTTGTCTGCATTAGTTATTTAAAATACTAACAGTGTTACTGCTGATGAGATGGTCACACAGTGGTTCGTGGAGTCCCCCCTTTGAGGAGCTCAGGGTCCTCACAGCTGGACAGTCCCCTCACTCATCAAGGTGAGCTCTAAATGGGGAGAACGCACTTTTAAGCAGTATATTCCATGTGCTAGACTAGACAGACCTCTGCTAAAACTTCGCAGGTGGGGTGGAGAGGGAATCGAAATTGATCATGATATGATATATATGTACAAACTCTTCAAAATGAATGAAATATTATGTACTACAAACATTTACCAGCTTTTCAAAGGACTTAACAGACAGTATTGCTAATCATCACAACAGCCAGGCAAAGGAGAAATAACTCATTTTTTACCAAGTAAGAACCTGAGGTTCAGAGAGGTTGTAAATAATGTGTCCAAGGCTGCAGAAGCACTGTGTGAGGAGCCATTTGGGCCGCACATATACCCACTCCCAGAGCCCAGATCTCTCCCTCTATACCTCCTTACCTTGAGCCAGAAGAGGGCTTGCTTGCAGTCATGGAAGGGCAGCATCTCCATCCTCTCCAGGGCCCCTGCCCTGCTCAGAGAACAGGAGGAGCCAAGGGCTAATCCAGGGATGAAGCTTTCTTCTCCCCCAGTAAAAACCCCTGCTGGCACAGGTGCCAATGGAATCCTGCCCTCCTTTCTACTTAGCCAGCTCCAGCCTGAGAAAATGAGAAGGTAGTTTGCTTCCCATGTCATATGAGGCACAGGGAAGGACTCCTGTAGACTGATGCATCAGGTAACAAGTCAGGAGGATCCTCATCTCCCATAAATACCACTGCCTTCCCCACCTGGGCCAGCATCCTGTCCCTGCCCCATGTCTGCTGCCATCTTCCTAGTCACTCAGCTGACCTACCAAGGAAGAAGAGCCCAGTCGTGGAGAACATACTCAGTTACACATGTACCCCTGAGGCCACCCACTCTGTGCTGACCTCTTGGTGGGATTCAGCTGTGGACCACACCCACTGGAGCTCTGCCCAGGAGAGAGGCAGAAAAGAGAAGTAGTAGTTGGCTTTTTTGTGCTTCATATGCTGCCCACTGTTTTCTAAGAAGTGTACATGTATCAATGCATTATCCTCCCAACAACCCTCTGAATGAAGATAGTTATTACTGCCTCCATTTAATAGATGTGGACACGGATGTAATGCAAGAGTGAGTAATTTGTGTGTGATCACAGAGCTGGGAAAGGAGAACTGAGAGTTCAAACCCAAGCAGTCCCATTCCCAGAGCCTGCAGCTTAAATGACTACCATGCAGCCGGAGCCAAAAGAGAGGGGTCAGTTTTCAGGCCACCTTGGGTGGACATCTCTGATAGCATCCTCAGCTCCAAGAGGGAGGATGGTTGATACACCCTGCCCATGTAGAAGATGCTTAAATGCCCTGTGTAAGCCCCATCCACCCCTCCTCTGCTGCTTCACTCCACTGAGGGAAGTGATGATAATTTCAGGGAGCTGAGGAAGCTGATAATACCGTCCAGCAGTACCCCACCCAACCTACTGTAGTTTCTGATGTTCTAAGTTCTACTGACCAAAGCTCTCACCAAGTTTAATTAGCCAGATCTATGCATACATGCTGCTTAAAGACAGGTCCTTGTCTTGTTCATCCTGACCGTCCCCAGAGCCCACAGTGAGGGAAAATGCTCTGCTGTTGATGAACTTAACCCAACAGTAATTCAGCAGACCTTCAGAGGATGAGTGTTGCTAGCTAAACAGAGTGGAGAAGGGAAGGCAGTAGAAGCCTGACATACCAAAGCTCAGGGGCATGACATGGCCTGGTATATTCAGGGCACTGCGACTGCTCAGTATCGTGCAACTACAGAGTTCTAGTGAGAGTAGAGTGATGGAGATGAGGTAGCCAAGGACAGGGATGCAGCTCAGTGGTGAGCACTTGCTTAGCATGCTTGGGGCACTCAGTTCTATCCCCAGCACCACAGGAAAAAAGAGAGAGAAAGAAGGGATGAAGGGGAAGAAGAAAAAGGGAAAAGACAAAGAAAAAACTAGCCAGGCAAAGGAGTATAGATTTACATGACAGGTAGTAAGAAGCCACTGAAAGACTGAGCAAGAAAGGAACAGGGTCAGATTTTCTATAACAAAGATCCCTTAAGCATCTGTGCAAAGAGGACTAGAAGGGAAAAGAGGTCCAGGCTGCAGCTGGGGGAGTCTGCTCTATAGCAGGACCTATGGCCTAGAGAGAGAGCACTCTTAAGTTGCCTGTGAGAAAAGGGAGCGCTCAAGCATGAGAGTGGCCCAATTTCTGGCCTGAATGACCAGGTGGCTTCTGCGGCATCAGCTGAGGCAGTTAGCACAGGGGGCCAAGCTGCAGATAGCAGATTGGTGAGAAAGGTAAGGCACTGAGGAGTGGGATTGTCGAAAATAAAATAGCTGCTTCAGGGCCAGCCCTATGGAGATGTCTAAGAGGCCCAGCATCAGTTTCATGGGTCTGGGGCATAGAAAGGCCTGAGTGAAAGTAGCAGTTCAGGAATCCTTCAGCTCACAGAGGCTAACGGGCACGCTCTGTCACCTCAGGAGGGTCAGTGTACAGAGAAGCAGCGAGGCTTAATCACAGAACCTTGCACCAAACAGGGAAGGGTCAAAGGGAATTGCTGCAAAGGTGGGAGGCCAACCCAGAAAACACCGCTCACTGTTTCATCAGGCACTGTGTAGAGCACGGGGGACATGGATGAGACATACTCAGTCCCTACCTCAGTGGTAAGAGTGGGGCAGACAGCCATCTAGAAAGTCCCTTGAGTCTCCTGGGACAAGGGATGCACTAGGGACATGTAGCAAGCACAGCAGTTGCACAGGCACTTAATCCAGCCTGGAGGTATGCGGGAAGTCCCTGGGCCCTAGCCCAATTCTCCCCAAACCTAGGCCCAGAAGAAAAGAATCTTCCTGTTCTCCCCTAAACCACACTAATGCTGAGTCACCTCCTGGTGACCCCAGATCCTACAGCCAGGACCTACACAAGTCCTGGGAAGAGCCTGGTCTGCAGGGGGCACACCCTCCACTCCTCCCTTCAGGGGTCGGAATACGTGAGACACTGAGAAAGCCCCGTAACTCTGGGTAGGCATCCAAGCCCCCGCAGGATATACGTGCTCTGAGGGGAGGTGGGATGGAGAGCTCCCTCTTTGGACACATCTTTATTGCCAAGGAAGCTGAGGAGACATGAAAGTCACCCTTTGGGTCAGTTGTGCCCTGCACCTGCTCCCCTTGCCCACCTGGGACCCATCCGCAGGCCCAGTTATAAGCAGAGCTTTGATCTCTCAGAATGAAATTGCTGCTGGGTTATTGCTCTGGCCAGTGCAGCAGTGTGTGAACTCAGTCCTTGGGGATGAGCTCTTCGAGGTGAGTGTGGAAGACACACAGTGTCACATGCACATGCTTGGGCATCTCACACAAGCACCCAGACCTGGCCCCACACTGGAATTGCCCCCAGTGAGTTCTGTTTTATGAGAGCCTTTAAGCAGGGGTGAGAGTGAAGAGCTGGGGGAAGAAGCTCAAGAACATCTGCTTGCACCCTTGCCACTCCTTTTCCTACCCCAAGGCAGGGACAGCGGTGACCAGCTCCAGGACCTGGAGTGCCAGCCCTCTTTAGAGTAGACCCCTTTGGAACCAGCAGTGTCTTGGAGGTGCAGGTAAAGCAAGGTGGAAACGCCCCGGCACTCAGAAAGTGTTCAGGTGCTGCCCCTCCTCCCTCTCGTCTCAGGGCTGAGCTCACCACTACGTGGGCTGTAGAAGCAAAGGCTCACCCTGAGTCACGCCCTGCTGACAGGCGAGGCACAGCTCAGTGAGGCTGTGACGGGGCCCAGCACTGCTGGCCCAGGCAGGAACCAGCAGTTCTCAGAGCCATGTTCTCCAGCTTGGCAGGAGCTACTCTTTGTCCACTTCCTAGGTGGTCCCAGGCAGGCCTCCCTCTCCTAACCCCTGTCCCAGTTGTTCCTTTCCAGTGAGCCTGAAAGGAAGCCCTAAATATTGTCCCTATTTCAATTTATTACACATTATCAGCTATAGTAATAACAGCTCTGCCATTTGCACAGCGTGGCTCCTGAGGCTTCTTTGCCAGTTTGACCACATCTAGTCCTCACAGCGACCCTCCTGAGGTACCATCCCCTGAGCTTTTGCAGAGACTGGGCTTCCCTGCATCATCACTGCTGTCACTTATTTCCTGGGTCTCACTGCTTCTCTAGACCAGGTGTGTGTAGAAGGCTCGTGGAGTCCCCAGTATCTTAACACCAAGCCTGGCCCAGAGTGTTGGGTCGGGAATCAGACCAGCTTCCAGCTGCCAGGGATAGTTGGGTGCCCTGAGATGCCTGAGAGCAGTGGAATCTCACCCAGAGGCCTCTCAGTCGGTGGAACAGCTGCAGCCCAGGACATGCAACCAGGCCAATTTCAGTGCCCAGAGAACCCAGAGGAGGGAGCAGCTGACCACCAGGGCTAGGGGCAGCAGCTTGGCGTTTGGGGGGAACTTACAGGTCCCTGACCGTCCTGTCCCCAATCCCTCCCAGGGCCGGCTAACCGATGGGAAGGGGAAGACAATCGACTGCAAGGATGCCATCTTCATCATGACCTCCAATGTGGCCAGTGACGAGATTGCACAGCACGCCCTGCAGTTGAGGCAGGAAGCTTTGGAGATGAGCCGTAACCGTATCGCTGAAAACCTTGGTATGGCACATCTGGGGACAGGGATGGGATTAGGATACTGGCCCCAGTGAAGTCCTAGGTGGCAGCTTTGTCCCTCAGTGACACTGAGCACACCGCAGGTACCATAGAGATGGAAAGGGACAAACAAAAAAGAATCCTCCACACCCTCGAGGAAGCCCAGAGTCTGCTGGGTGATAGGAGGGCTCCTAACTGAGGAGGGGACAGAGCCACCCAGAGGAGGACCAGGAGTCAGCCGAGGTCTCAGGGGACCAGAGCAATGCACACTCAGTAGCTAGAGATGCTGAGGGGACAGCAGGTCAGAAATTGCATGGAAATGTCCAAAGCCATTTTCACCCAGGGTGACTCCCTGCATAGGTGTGCGCTGGGGTGCACATCAGCGAGAGTCTGTGGGCTATGTCTGTCATCTCCCTATTCAGGATGTGTCCCACAGCCCCCTCTCCTCCAAGACAAAACTAGGTCTTGATGCGGATTCTTCCCCTTCCCCGTCAGCCATTGCTCCCACCTGAGAAGCCTCAGGCTTTGTAGCACGTGGGAGCTGGAAGGGCCTCAGAGACCACGTAAGTCAGTGAGGAGCCCAAGCCAAGGCCCCAGGGATCCTCAGACCAGGTTCACCCCACAGTGGCAGGACCCAGCTCTTTCTGTAGGTAGGAGCAGAGATCAGGCACAGCACCAGAGCTCTCTAAATATGAGGAGTAAATAGTTTATTACTCTGTCTCTGCAGGTGATGTCCAGATTAGTGATAAGATCACCATCTCAAAGAACTTTAAGGAGAATGTAATCCGCCCCATCCTGAAAGTAAGTCTTTCTTGGCACCTCCTGCTGGAGCCTAGTTGTGGGGAGCAGGGCCTTAGCCATCCTAAAGATGTGGAATCCCCTGTCTTCCCCATCGGGTCCAGAAATTTCCCACCTCATAGGTCACTAGTGCACCTCAACCCCAACCTGGCCCTGCAGGCTCATTTCCGGAGGGATGAGTTTCTGGGACGGATCAATGAGATTGTCTACTTCCTCCCCTTCTGCCACTCGGAGCTCATCCAACTAGTCAACAAGGAACTGAACTTCTGGGCCAAGAGAGTAAGAAGGGACTGCCCGGGGGTGGGATGGGACATCTGCCCACTGAGAATCTGGAACTCTGGGCCAGGAACAGCCCTCCCCCAGGATTTGAGGCCAGCAGCCCCGGGGACACATAGTGTCTCACAGGCCCAGACCTTGGGCCACTGCTAAGAGGTGGCCACATGCAGACAGGCCTCTCTCTGACCCGTCTCAGGCCAAGCAAAGGCACAACATCACACTGCTGTGGGACCGAGAGGTGGCAGACGTGTTGGTTGACGGCTACAATGTGCACTATGGTGCCCGCTCCATCAAGCACGAGGTGAGCAGAGAAGCCTGAGAGAAATGCAGCTTTGCCCATACCCAGCCTTGGGCTCTAGGCCTGTCTCCTGATAGTTTGGCTGCTGGGATTGTCCACATCCACAGCAGATGCCACCTCAGAACCAAAATACAATATGATCAACTGAAACTCCTATCTGGAAGGTGACCAAGTATGAATCCTACCCATAATGGGAAACTGGGCTGGGAGCCTCAGAAATGGACATCATTGAGCCTTTAGCACAGTCCTGTAAGCTGTCTCCGTATCCCACTTGGCAGATGAGAAAACTGAGGCTCAGAGAAGGTCTCTGACTTGCTCAAGCAGTAAGTGAAAGAGGCCAGCTCTAGGCTCAGGCCTCCACCTCATCTTCCACCCCGTAGGTCGAGCGCCGCGTGGTGAACCAGCTGGCAGCAGCTTATGAACAGGACCTGCTACCAGGAGGTTGTACTCTGCGCATCACTGTGGAAGACTCAGACAAGCAGCTCCTCAAAAGCCCTGAACTGCCCCAGGCTGAGAAGCGTGCACCCAAGCTTCGGCTAGAGATCATTGATAAGGACAGCAAGACCCGAAAACTGGACATCCGGGCACCACTGAACCCCGAGAAGGTGTGCTACACCATCTAGCACCAACCTGCTTGTACATGCCCTGAGCACCTAATAAAGACCCGTCACCGTGGCATGACACCTGCCCTGTCTTCCCACCGTGCCTCCCTTCCCTGCCTCCTCCCTCCCCACCCTGAAGCACTCCCTTGTCCCCTTGGTGTGGACCTTGTCCACTAACAAGTCCCCAGGAGGGCCAGATATTTAGCTGAGTGGCACCGCACCTGCCTTGAAAGCACAAGGTCCTGAGTTCGATCTCCAGTACAAAAAATAAAAAAGTCCCCAGGAGAGGAGCTGCCCCTCCACCCTCTTCAAAGCAAGGAGTAGAGCCGGGTATGGTAACTCATGCCTGTAATCCCAGCACTCAGGAAAGGGGAGACAGGAAGATCACCACAAGTTCAAGGCCAGCTTGAACGACATAGTGAGACCCTGTCTCAAAAAATAAGTAAAATAAAGCAAGGAGCAGGGAAGTCCCCGATCTCTGTCCTCATTTGATCCCCATTCCCCATGGTCACTGGAACTTATCACATTCCCAGAAGCCCAGGCAAGTGGCAGCTGGGAACAGATCTGGATGGAAGACAGACCAGACTGTCCTGCATCCTCAGCTGCCACTCTTGCAGCTCAGTCCCCAGAACATCTCCACCAGGAGTGGAAGGAGAGTGCAGAGGCCCAGGCACAGATGGTTCTGCAGTTTAGTTTGTAGCTACCTCTTTCCCATGTTCTAAAATTCTAAGATGAGGGGACCAAGGTCTTTCCTGCTCCTCTGCCCTCTTGTGGCCATGTTCCTCCCCATACTGTGTCCTGTGGTCATGCCAGGACTAGGCTAGGGTAGGGCCCTTCTAGGGCCTGACTAGTTCACTACCCTGCCCTACTCTGGGACCAAGCAAGCTCAGCTCTGCAGAAGCTTCCTTCAGGCAACAGACACTGTTGACATTGGGAAGCTGTAGAGGGAGAGAATCGGGGTGAGGCCCTGTGCAGGTGGCCATGGAGCCTGCCTTGGCCCTGACTATAACTCTCATTCCAGCCAAGTGAGTCTGGAATAAGCCTGCAAGTCAATCACTAAGCAGAAGGTCCAGACCCCATGCCCTCATTTAGAGGGCATTCCACACACCAGCCTTGTTTCAACCCCCGCTGGGTAGAACACAGCACAGCCTGGTGCATCCTTGGGCACCATTTACAGTAGCCGCCATCCAGCCTCCCCCTGCAAGGCCTTGGTGGAACCTTCCTGGGGTGTTACCTCTTTCAGGAAGTGAGGGGTGGGGGCCTAGAGAATCTCATAGCATGGTGCAAGGCGGTCAGAAGCCAGGCGCAGGCCAGAGTACTTGTCCAGCAATCACCATTCTGCCCCTCAGAGCTACTGCACTGCTGCTCCCTACCTCAGTGACTGCTGCTCTGTTGTTGTTGTTGTTGTTGTTGTTGTTGTTGTTGTTGTTGATAATGATGATGACTTTTGGTTTTGAAATAAGTTTAGATTTACAGAGAGTTGCAAAAATAGTAAAGAATTCTCATACCTTCTACCCATCTGCTTCTAATATTACATCTCATAAAACCATACTATGATTGTCAAAACCAGGAAACTTCACACTCCCACAATACCACTGACTAATCTGCAGATATTTGAATTTTGTCAGTTTTCCCCTGATGTCCTTTTCTGGTCCAGGACCTGATCCAGGACATTCCACATTAAGTTTTGTTGTCAGATTTCCTTCATCTCCATCAGCCTGTGGCAATTCCTCCATCCTTGTCTTTCATGACATTGACACTTTTAAAGAATCCAGGCCAGTTATTGTGTAGAATGACCTTTAATTTGGATTTGTCCCGTGCTTTCATATGATTAGACTGAGGGCTTGCAGTTTTAGCAAGATGACCCCAGAAGTGACACTGGGCCCTCAATGCCTCCTAGCAGCTGGTGGTGGTAACTTTGAGCATAAGGTACGGGTGGTATGTGCTAGGTTTCTCTATTATAAAATTATAAATTTGGGGTCTAGGGATGTAGCTCAGTAGAAAACCACTTGCCTAGCATGCTTGAGGCCCATCTCCAGCAACCCCCCCAAAAAAGGAATTTTCCTCTTGAAATCAATAAAAATCTGAGAAGAGTGGTTCTTGCTTTACAATTATTAATGTTGTAGTTGCCTGATGATGACTTTCTGAATCTTTATTCATCTGTGTTTATTAACTGACATTCTATTGTAAGGAAGAACCCTTTCTCCCATTTTTCACTAATTTACATATTATATGTAAATTCTATAATACTGACAGACTATTTGTTGCCCACATTTGGCTACTGAGAACTTTTTCAAGTTATTTTCTTTTTTTTTTTTATTGGTACCAGGGATCGAACTCCGGTCCTTGCGCTTGCAAGGCAGGCGACAGAACCACTGGGCTAAATCCCCGGCCCTTCAAGTTATTTTCAACATTGTTCCTTATCATTTTTTTTAGCACTTCCTTATTTCCTGGCATCACAAGTTGTCCCAGGCTCACTCATGTTTTCCCTGTCCCAGTCTTTTGTTTAATTTTTTTTTTTTGGTACTGGGGATCAAACTCAGGACCTCACACTTGCCAGGCAGGCGCTGTGCTGCTGAGCTATATCCTCGGTCTTCCCTATCCCATTTTTTTTTTTTTTTTTTTAGGCGCTGTGCTGCTGAGCTATATCCTCGGTCTTCCCTATCCCATTTTTTTTTTTTTTTTTTTACCAGAGATCGAACTCAGGACCTTGCGCTTGTACAGCAGGCACTGGAACCACTGAGCTAAATCCCTGGCCCCCCATCCCAGTCTTGACATCAACCATTTTTCCAGTAATCTCCCAGTTCCGTTTATTCTTGAATAAACCAGTTAGTGACTCGGTACTTAGAAATCAAGGTCTGGACACTGGGTACATTCATTGCTACTTGGCTGTCATTGCTTCTAGGCTCTCACCAAAGCGCTCTAGGGAATATATACATGTGTTAACACATGCATACACACATCTGATTTTATCTGTCCATCTGTATATTATTAAAAACCATGAGTTCAAATTGATACCTACAATCCAATACCATAGGGTTGTGGCTGCCATTCTTGCAACTTTACTATTTTTCTGCTTCTTCCTATCCTGCTCTGTTCATTCTCCTGTGTGTGGTGGTCAGACTTTCTTAGAAGCTGTAAGACATTCAGTGAGCATCCTTTGTGCAACATTCCTTTTGGTTAGTTAACTTGGGTCAACAGCAAGTGAGTAACTCAGAACTAGGTAACTTTCATACCAAAAAAAAACCCAATAGCCACCTTCCTGAGAGTAGGATAGGGAACAGGATAGAGCCTCAGGTTCTGAGGAACTTAACTATCACTTCTGGAGATTCTTTGCTAGACCTCATAGGTCATGTTGGACCCATATCTCTACTTCCATTACATCCTGGATATTGCTTAACTCACTTATGCCACATGTTTTTTGTCTGCATCACTAGAATGTAAGCTCCAAGGCGGCCAATGCCAAACTGTTCAGCTCCCTGTTCACAGAGCCTGGCCCAGTGCTGACACATGACAGATGCTCCAGGAATGTTTAGAAGGGTGAGGTGGCCCTGGGACAGAGCACTTGTTTGCCTAGTATACTTTGTCACGTGCTTATGACCCAGCATTGAGACCACCAGGCTTGCAGCTGTAACAGATTGCAGGAAACAGCAGCATGAGACCCAGATACCTATTAAGGCTCCTAGAATACAGGAGGCTGGACTTGAAAATTGTTCAAAGAGAAAAACTCACAACTATATAGTGATTGTATTAGAAACTTAAGGGGGAAAAGCACATGTAAGCCTTAAGAAAATAGAAAATGAACCAGTAAATATAAAAACTAAAGTTAGGGAGAAAACAAAAAGGATAAACAAAATCAATTATTTGAAAATATAAATATGATAGATAAGCCAGGTGTGGTGGCACACACCTGTAATCCCAGCACTCAGAAGGCTGAGGCAAGGGCTGGGGATTTAGCTCAGTGGTTCCGTCGCTTGCCTTGCAAGCTCAAGGACCCGAGTTCAATCCCCGGTACCAAAAAAAAAAAATTATAAAGTGTAAACAGAAGGCTGAGGCAGGAGGAACACCATGAGTTCAAGTCCATCCTAGGCTACATAGTGAGTTCAAGACCTGCCTGAACTACATGGTGAGACCCTATGTCAAAAAAATTATATATATATATATATATATATGAATATGAATGAGATAAAACTTCCTGAGTCTGATAAAGGGGAAAGGAAATAAAAATACAAGATTGGGAATGAAAAATTAGATATAGCCACACAAAGAGGAGAGGTGAATTTTTTCAGAACTTAATATTAAATTTAAAAACAACAAATGGATAATTTCCTAGTAAACAGTGACTCAAGACATAGCTTGAATAGACAAAAGAAGGAATTGGAAAGATGATTAAAATTTTTAAAAATGTTCTGGGCTGGGGGTGTAGCTCAGATACAGCACTTTCCTAGCATGTTCCAGGCCCTGAGGTTAATGCCCAGACCACAAAAAAAAAAATGTTCTTTTGATTAAACTTTGAAATACATATATAGAAAATGCACAGATTTTAAGAGTTTAATGTACTATTACAAAATGAACACATTCCTCTAGCCATCACACTGTCCACTGTCCCAAAAATAGATGAGTTCCAGCTTTTAGCTATGTATAAACTGCTCAGACCAAGGAGAAAGATGGAAAGATGCCCATCTGATTTTAAAAGCCCATGTACTCAACTTGATAAAGTCCCAAAAGGAATAACCTAAACATGTCTGACTACAGATGCATAAATCCCAAGTAAAATGAAGCTGGAGCTGGCATGGTGGTGCATACCTGTAATCCCAGCTACTCTGGAGGCTAAGCAGGGGGATGGCAAGTTCAAGGCCAGCCTGGACAACTTAGCCAACCCTGTCTCAGAATAAAAAGAGGTGGGGATGTAGGTCAGTGTTAAGAGTGCTTACCTAGCATACTGAAGAGCCTCTGGGTTCAAATCCTCAGTATTAAAAAAAAGTCAAACTATACTATGATCGCGTAAGGTTTATATTAACAGAAGGCTCATTGTCAGAAATTTATTAATATAATCCACCATAACAAGAATAAATACTTGGGCCAGGGATTTATTTAGCTCAGTGGTTCTGGCACCTGCCTCACAAGCAGAAGGACCCGAGTTCGATCCCCAGTATAAAAAAAAAAAAAGAATAAATACTTAAAGGCCTGGAATACTAATTGTGTTGGTGTCAATTTTGTTATGCTGATAATTAAACTATGGTTATTGAAGAGAATGTCCTGACTTTTAGAAAATATAAATATTAAGAGGTCAATGGCAGATATTTTAGGAAATATACATATACACACATATACATATATACACAGAATGATACAGCAAAAATAAACATTTGGGAAATCTGAAGAAGTATCAAAATTCTTTGTATTTGCAACTTTCTGAAAATCTAAAATTTTTAAAATAAAGGTTTTTAAATAAGATATATCAGTGTACACTGAAAAAGTATTGGATAACAATTGAAAGAAAAGTAATTTGAATATGTTCATGAAAACAACATTTAGTCGTAAATACTAAAGCT